GGAATGTTGTTTGTTCACTTGCTGCATGTTTCTGGTGTTTGGTGTTTTTAATGCTAATATTTGGTAGACGGTCTGCTCTTCAAAAATCAAAATTAAAAAAAAATAAATAATTGAGCATTTAATATGAATAGGAGTAAGGAAAAGGGTCACAAAAGAGCTCAAACTGTTTCTACTTTACTGACCTCTCACCCTGCCCCGCAGCTCCAGACAGATTAAATTTTTCAATGATTTGTGGTAGCTATGATTTTTTCAGAACTCTTTAAGCTCCTTCCTTTAAATGAGATATACATCATTCCTCTTTTAGCAGCTTCCTTCCCTCCCCTTTTTATTTCAACTAGCTCTAGGTAGATAGGTGGTGCTTAGTGTAACAAAGGTACATGTACAGAAGGTATTGAATTTGGTCAGATAAAAGGGAGCATTAAAAAGGAAACATTAGCTGGTGGCTGAAAAAGAGCTGTTGAAAACCTATGAAATCCCTCAATGCCAGGTTTGTTTAAATATTTCTTACAATACACCCCAAGTATCTGTTATAATTGTGTTTGAGGTTGAATGAATTTTTGTAGGACTACAGCTAGTACTGCTGGGCTTTCCTGTGGTTTACAGGTGTGAAGCAACAGCAACTGGAGGTCATGGTCATGTTTTGTGGCAGTGTGAAAGCCTTGATGGTGCTTTTCACCCCCGACGTGATTCTGAACTGCTTTTGAGTACTGCTTGTCTCCTGATGGGACTTCAGCTCAGAACTTTTCTGCCGTGGAAATGCAGTGAGGGGCAAATGCATTTGGTGTCTTTATGTGCCTTTATATTCTGTCTTTGTACGATGATCACGATAAACTTCTCTTGTATTCTTATGAGATAACTCTGCCTTGGTCTCTCTTATTTTCAGAGAAGAAATGGGGAAGATATTCCAGTTGCTCAGACTAAGAATATCAATCACAGAAGATTTGCTGCTACTTTTAAGTTGCAAGAGGTGACAAAAACCGACCAGGATTTGTACCGCTGCGTGACTCAGTCAGAGAGAGGTTCAGGAGTGTCAAATTTTGCTCAACTTATTGTTCGAGGTAAAGTTTTAATTGCTTTCATGTTATCTATTTAAATGCTCTTAGTTCCAGTCCTTTCAACTTACACCTTTTCTTTTTGAACTTACGGATGTCTTGATCTGAAAGGATCATACGAAGATAGCCCTATATGGCTTCTGAAATTCTCATAAAATTAAAGGATGGCTTGCAAAACTTCTTACAATTGCTTTTCATAACATACATCTGTGTAAAACCCTGATCTGGCAATGTGTGTAGTATGCCTATATGCTTTTCTGTGGATGTTGTTTGTTGAACTTAAGGTGAAAGCTGCTTCATTTTCATAAATATTTTTACAGATATGAGAAAATCCACTGCGGTTAACTAACATTCCCTTCTAAAACCTGTTGCCTTGAGCAGACTGGTTGTACAGCAAATAACACATTGTTCTCTTACCTGGAAGACAAGTAGGTAAAAATAATTGTAAACTTTCACCTACTGAGGGACTGAGAGAATTATGGAGATGTACTCTAATGATATCCAACCTCTGAAGTAGAAGGAAGAAAATTAAAATCTTGCTTTTTTCTACTTGAAATACTTTGTTATTGCAGTTCATTCAGGATCCTACTAGGGTGCAGCTGTAGCTCATGTATAGTGATGCCACGTTACTGGTTTATTTCTGCATTTTGTGTTCTGGAAGCGTTTCATCTGACTGTCAAAGGATATGGTTGAATCATAGAATCATAGAATCTTAGGAGTTCAGTTTTCATTTCCAAAACTCACTTGATGTTTGGCCCGGAATAACCTCTAAAGTCTTTCCTTACCTAATTGTGTCACCTGCAAAATTGCCCATTCCACTCTTGAGTTGTGCTGAGGTTTAATGTTTTTAAAGTGGGAAGAGGAAGTGGTGTATACAGTCTGCCTGTGGTGCTGCTGGCTGGTGCGGGGGCTGTTTTGGCCAGGTGAGCACAGGGGTCAGGTACATGGTGGGTTTTGGCTCCTTGGTCCAGCATCTGGCTCGTGGACATGGAAAGCAAGTTTGTCCTCAGCTTGTAGAAATAAAAGTAGCATAGGAAATACTCTAAGATACTTGGTTTCTGATATTTGCTGTCAGAGGTCTTTTCCTAGGAGAGACTGGTTGATTGTGGTAAACTAGGAGTTATGCATTCTATATAATGTCGGTAGAAATGGGTTTTGCTGACCATTTGAGGATTTAGAAAATATGTTAACAGCTTTTTTGTTCTGTAGATACAGCTTTTGTCTAGCAAAGTGCAAGATGGTCTTCATCCTAATATAATGAAATTAGTTCTGTTACAGCATAAAACCAGATTTTCTGTTTTGTTGTTAGAAAAGCAGGGAAAATTGAAGTATTTACTCAATAAATTAAGTTTTCTATTTCTTTTCTATTATAGAAGAGCAATAAAATGGTGTTTATACCACTATTTCTCTCAAAAAATGAGATAAGAAATAACAAACTTCATAGTACTCTCCTTTTCAATGCAGCATATTGTTCTGCTGAGAATCTTGGGTCGTTTGATAGAGAATACCTTCTTTATGGCTCAAAACATAAACTTGCTATCTAGCTATATATATACAATGACTATATAGGTTTCATATTTTATGGTTAATTTTACTTTTCATGTGCTTTTTGCATTGGAAGCCCAAGAATTCTGAGATGGTTTTATAAATATATGTATGTGTATATATAATTTAGAAGAAAAAGATTGATCTTCTAAAAACATTTTCATCCATTTGACATCATGGTAGAGAACAAAGATTTATGTTTTATAGTAGGATTTATTGCTTGCTGTTATATTTGAAAAGCAATATACAGTAATATATTTTCTTGTTTGTCTGGATAACCACTAAATAAATCTTGTTAGCCAAAAAAGCATACCCTTAGGGATCAGCTACCCTGGTGTTAAAACTGTATTGAAAATTAACCATAATGACAGGGCCTATATCTCAGTGGCACTTTAAAGCTGACATCCTGCTACATGGATACAAAAGATGATAATTTTAAAGGAAATTTTTGGGCCACTGATACGAATTGCCTTTAATAAGAGCTGGCATAGTATTGCCCATTGTCAAAGATGACCCAGGGGGAAGAGTTTATTAGTGCGTTTCCTTCTAAACTGAAAGTGACAGGGCATGCCTGGGGCCTTTTTGTTGCTGTTTGTAGCAAATGAAAATTTCACTGCAGAATTCTCATGCTGTAGAGTATTGATCTGTGTTTTCTCACAGCCGGAGGAGGAGAAGAAACACAATGAAACACACTTTACTTTGTCACAGCTTTAGTATTGCTTCCAGGTCATTTTGAGTAATGATAAGATCTTTGGTTTGTAGAAGCCAAACTTTATTGACAACACTGCTTATGAGAGAGTGAGGGATGAGAAGCAGGAGTTGCTGCCCAGTAATTCAGAATCTGGGTGTTTAGATACATGGCTGAGGTCCTTATATGTTTCATGTCTGTACAGGTATGTGGTACCACAATGCAGGTGTAGAGGCATCTGATGCTTTTCTGACGGGCAGTCCGAACTTAGTCTTGGTAATAAAAAATTCCAATTTTATATGTAATTAAACCAGCATTATTTCATTTTGAACTGTAACAGGAGAATTACTTTCAGTGGAGTTGTAAACTTTACTACAAATGTAGTTACCTGGGAAGGATGGTATGCATTCCAAGACCCTGAAAGGGATAACTCAATTACTGTGATTATTTTTTGGAAGAAAAATCAGACTGGGATAGGATTTGTAATTCAATTATGACCTTTTACATAAAGCTGTTCCAGTCAATGATTTAATGTCTCACCTTTGCTTAGAGCTGGTCTTCAGTTCCCAGCTCAGTGGCTTTGATGTACTGTTTTTTTTCCCATGGTCATTCTTAGATACGTGTAGAAGGAGCTCTGCCTTTCCCTTTGCTTTTACAGGAAGCTTGATGCTGTCATTACTGTTAGTTGGGTTATCCTCCTGGATAGGTCTATCTGATTAATTGTCTATATTTTACCTTTGTGGCTGGTAAGTTGGCAATTTCTGGGAACATAACTTCTTGAAGTCTTCAAGGTTGTCTGCACTGGAACTTGGTGGAGTGGTGCTGGGAGGAACAGTAGCTGTGATATGTAAATAAGAGTGAACATGTTGGACACTGACAGTTTCTTTCTTTTTACTTGTTTCTTCTTTGCTTCTGAGAACACGTGTGTCATGCTCTCCAAGTCTTCCTGCTACTTTTACTACTTCTGCCCAGGAATGTAGTTGAGTCCCCATCCTTGGAGGTATTCAGTGTAGATGTGGCACTTCAGGGCATGCTCTAGTGGTTGAGGTTTTGGGATTTTTTGTGGGTGTTTTTTGGTGGAGTGTGTGTGGTTGTTGGTGTTTGTTTGGGTTTTTTGTTTGTGTTTTTTTGGTTTTTTTTCTGAAGGTTAGACTCAGTGATCTCAAACGTCCTTTCCAATCATGACAACACTGTGTGTGTGTTTCTCTGCTCTCCCCCATCACAAAGTGCAAATAGTGTGTCCAGTCTTGGCCTTCTGCACCTAAAACTGGAACTTACATAGGACAGTGTATGTTTATACTTTTAGGAAGCATTCTGATCAGTAATAGTATTTAAGATTATGAAGCTGAGGTATAACAAGTAGGAAAACTGCTGTTAACAATATTTGAACTTGTGAGTGCTGAGCACTTGTCACGTTATTGGTCTAGCTCTCTGTAAATATACTTTTGGCTGTTAACAACAGATAAGAAAGAAATTGATGGTTATGGTGGTATAAGTAGCACACTGTGTTTTTTTTTCTTTTTCATATTTTGTTTTGAGTTCTAGTAGTCTTTTTGTAGTTTTTTTTTTTTGTGGCTACTTTTCAAAAGATCTCTTGCTTTGAGTAACATGCAAGTGTATAAATTAAGCACCCAAAAGGCATCGCCCATGCCCTGGCTTATACATATACTTGCTACATGTAGTTATGTAGACTTTCCAAATTGCAGTACTAAATAGCATTGCTCTTTTTAGTCAGTAAAGACCTTTGCTTGACCAGTTTTTGTACCGTTTCATTAAAAACTAATGAAATATTTGTCTGAAGTTGTCAAGATTTAGCAGAAAACCAACCCTGTGCATCAAGAAGTGAGCTAATTTCCATCAAAGTAATTGTGATCAACTTCTTGGTTGGCTTAGTGTGTTGAAAGTGGCTACCAGGAGGAGATGAAACTAATGTTGCAGTCTTGTGGTTTGTTAGCAAAGCAGTGTAAAATAATCCCAGTTTAGTTTGTCCCTGTTTAAAATGTCTTGCACACAGGCAGTTCTGCAGGAGCTGTAAACAAAACACCCACTTTCTTTGGCTGCAGTGGATCTGGAAGATTCACTTGAGTGCTAAGGTTGTTTTTTTAAATTTTTCTTTATTATTATTATTTTAATTTTCATTAAACTACAGATTTTTTTCTCTGTCAAAAATACCCTAAGGAAACCACTCTCTCAAATATTATGATAGTGTTATACTTTATGTAAAGTAGTTGTATGCTTCCCCGAGTTTGTTTTCATTTAAAGCAGCTACATGTTGTTAACAGACTAATTGTACTGCAAAATCGGCAGGAATATTGTGTGATTTATTTGTAATGGATCTTGCATAGATTAGTTGGAAGAAAGTGCAGGTTAGTGTTAAAGACAGGGGAAAAAAAAGAAAAAGATTGTATGAATCAAGCACAGTGTTTGTTAATAATCTGTTAATAGCTCCATGTCTAGTTCTACTGATAAATTTCTAGTTTTTATAGGAGTAATAAATTATAACAAATTCTGATGTTTCCACTAGCTGAATTTAGTTTTTAACATCTCTTCATCCAACACAAACAGCTTTTTGTGGTAGAGTCAAAGCAAGGTGAGGTCTGCAACTCAATTTATAGTTCCAATATGGAAATATACTGGTAAATCCAAGTTAGCAACAGAAAGGCAGTTATCTTCCATGTGTTTTCCTCTTTTTTCTGACCCAGAAATTACATGTTCTTGTAAACTGGTCTGTTTGTATGGTTTTACTAATACGACAAAAGTTACTTTGTTTCTG